GATGGTACCAGACCTGGTTCGACCACAATTAATCCTGATGGTTCCACTCCATACAACCCTGATGGTACCAGACCTGGTTCAACCACAATCAATCCTGATGGTACGAGACCTGGTTTGACCACAATCAATCCTGATGGTACCAGACCTGGTTCGACCACAATTAATCCTGATGGTTCCACTCCATACAACCCTGATGGTACCAGACCTGGTTCGACCACAATTAATCCTGATGGTTCCACTCCATACAACCCTGATGGTACCAGACCTGGTTCGACCACAATTAATCCTGATGGTTCCACTCCATACAACCCTGATGGTACCAGACCTGGTTCAACCACAATCAACCCTGATGGGTCCAGACCTGGTTCAACTAAAATAAACCCTGATAGTTCCACTGAATTCTACCCTCATGGTACTAGACCTGGTTCCACTCCATTCAACCCTGATGGTTCCAGACCTGGTTCAACCACAATCAATCCTGATGGTTCCACTCCATACAATCTTGATGGTTCTACTTCATACAACCCTGATGGTACTAGACCTGGCTCAACCACAATAAATCCTGATAGGTCCATCCCTGGAGGTATCGGTATTGCAGTGGACACCTTCCACCCATCCTACCGTAACGAGCCAATCTCTGTCAGCATTCTCAGAGTGCTCTTCTACTACCACAAGGACAGGAAGTTTTCGGCCGTCCATCCCAATGGTTATGGCTTCACTCCCGCCCCTCCGTCCACGCTTACGCGCACAGACATTGTCGTATCCATGCCGCCTTCACCTGCCGACACAACCCCGGATGGTAGCGGAGACTCTACTCCAGTCAATCCCCTCCATCCCGCCTTCCAAGGTGTCAACTTGATTCCTGGCGGTGGGCACCCCCAGGAGATGGTGCAGCTAGGGGACTCTAGCACGCTCGTATTCCAGCCTGACTTCAATGTTTCCGCACACGCGGGGCAGCCATATTCCCGTGGAGGTATTTTGTTTTTTTAACGAACGTGTCAGTCTCTCTCTCTCTCTCTCTCTCTCTCTCTTTCTCGCTCTCTCTCTCTCTCTCTCTCTTTCATTCTTTTTCTGTTTAGCTCCTCAACTGTTTTTTGTTCATAATAACACGCTGACCTCCATTGTTTCTTAGTTAATCACCACAGACGCATCCATCGAATCACAACCAACTCATCTGCGACTTCATTTTCAGGTGTTTCTCGCTGGACGCGATGTGATCGCATTAGCGCATTGACGTAGCCAGATGGCCACATCGTAACACATCATGTAGCATGTTATATATTATATATCATGCATCGTGAACAACGTGCTAATATACCGTGCATTTTCATCTTAATAGCATGGGTGTCATCCGTTGTCATCCAGTTAATGGCATCCAGTCATATAACAACTACATTGCCGCAGGCTAATGCGGGAAAATCGTTCCATTGACTGCATTGTTGGATCGCCATTGTTCAGTTCATTGTTTCACAATTGTATTGTTCTTTGTATGGTTACGCATCACCGTTTGTATGTATTGAGTGTATCGTAGTGTATCGTAGCGTATCGTTGTGTATCGAGTGTTTATCGTTAGACAGTCACGACTCTTCATGATGACCATCATTGATATAATTGTTTAACCTGCATATCTAACGTTCGCATGTGTATATCATCAACTGTGATCCATGTTAGTAACTTAGGATCGTCTGTTAACGTTTATCGGTGTCCGATATGTGCATGTTCGAATGATAATGTTACATTAATTCTGTGTATTAGAATTTACACGTATTAATAACTGTTGTATTGTTATAATGATATATTATTATATCGATATATTGACAAATAAGTGATATTGCTATTACAATAACGGTTTCATGATGTGAATTTTTAAGCGTCATGAACAATAAAGAGGAATGGTCTTGAAAAAGAACCATTTCCTATTTAGACTGCTTATATTCAATTTCGAGACGCTTAAATGCAATTACATTCAACGTAACGTGTGCGAGCAAACACCTAATATATCTAACACATATATATATATAAACAAATTTTCTACAAGACTAGCGCGCCGTTATTATATAATATTTTTCAAGTCCGTGGAGGTCTAATCTAGACTCCCAGCATAATTCAGGTATTATAGTCTAATCGACGGAGGTTCGACATTTTCCGTAGGTGACGAGATTTACGGAACCCTTCGTGTCCGACTGTCAGGGCATGTGGCAGTTCCCTCGGCTCGCTGCTCCTTCAACGAAGCGTCGCCATTGCCAGCCTGCAGATACCGCCGCCTCCTGGCGGCTACGATGCAGTCAACGATAGCGTTCGCTTTACGATCAATGCAAACAACCTCGGGCTTCATTGGACGCGGCATCGGCTTCTCTGATGATCGAACGATGGTAGGTTTTACCTTCACGTGCAGAGACAATAGACGTAAGGGCAGGAATGACAGAGAACGCCACGGTTTGGGTTTGTTTGGGAAGACAGCGACCGCACTACTGGAAAAGTTTAGATCTGCCGCGGAGGCAATAGAGGTGGGCCAGAAATGGCGGGGAGGTTGAGCTTGGATTGATTGATGAGAGAGCGACAATAGACGACTGTATAGGCTTTAGAGCTGGTGCGAAGACATAGAGATGGGGGCAGGAATGACAGAGAGCGAAGGGACTGGTTGCATTAGGAGACCTATATATACGCTGAAGATTGATTCTGTTTTGCAGAGCAACTCTGATGTTGTCTACGATGGATCAGCAATAATGGACACGCAACATTGATTGATGGTCAGTACATAACCCTTAATTACCTATCCCCTGATGGATCTATCCCCTGATGAATCTATCCTCTGATGGATCTATCCCCTGATGGATCTATCTCTGATGGATCTATCTCCTGATGGATCTATCCCCTGATGAATCTATCCCCTGATGGATCTATCTTCGATGGATCTATCCCTGATGGATCTATCCCCTGATGAATCTATCCCCTGATGGATCTATCCCCTAATGGATCTATCCCCTGATGGATCTATCCCCTGATGAATCTATCCCCTGATGGATCTATCTTCCGATGGATCTATCCCCTGATGGATCTATCCCCTGATGAATCTATCCCCTGATGGATCTAGCCCCTGATGGATCTATCCCCTGATGGATCTATCCCCTAATGGATCTATCCCCTGATGGATCTATCATCTGGTTATCTATTCCTTGATGGATCTATCCTCTGATAGATCTATCTCCCGAGGGCACCTGATGATTCCCTGGTAAATCTATCCACCTGTTCCCTAAGCAATCATCCTGTTACGGTTCTACACCGTATTTTTCTCTCTCTCTTCCTCCTCACAGCTTCCTGCTCTATTACATGTGCTCTTCTCTCTCTTCCCCCTCACAGCTTCCTGCTCTACTACATGTCCTCTTCTCTGTCTTCCTCCTCACAGCTTCCTGCTCTACTACATGTCTTCTCTCTCTCTCTCTCTCTCTCTCTCTCTCTCTCTCTCTCTCTCTCTATTCCCTCTCACAGCTTCATCCTCTACTACATGTCCTCTTCCCTCTCTTCCCCTTCACAGCTTCCTGCTCTACTACATGTCCTCTTCTCTCTCTTTCCCCTCACAGCGTCCTGCTCTACTACATGTCCTCTTCTCTCTCTTCCCCCTCACAGCTTCCTGCTCTACTACATGTCCTCTTCTCTCTCTTCCCCCTCAAAGCTTCCTGCTCTACTACATGTCCTCTTCTCTCTCTTCCCCCTCACAGCTTTCTGCTCTACTACGGGAGCCCTCTGCAGGACCGCGTCAGTGACGTGACGCTGGCCGCACTCGTCGCTGCGCTGACGGCGTCACGACGCTGCAGTTCTGGCGACGCGCGCGACAGCGGCGACGCTCGACGCGACGCGGCGTTCGCGACGCCGACGACGACTGCCACTACTTCCTGTTCCCAGCACAGCGCCAACGAGTTTGTGGAGTCAACGCGCGACATCCGGAAGCACCTGGCGCCACCCGCCGTCTCCGCTCACCGGATCTGCTGCGAAGTGCATGCGGCGTGAGTAAACCGACGTCGTAGCACGTCGCTTACTCTAGCTCATCGTAGTAGTAGTTGTTTTTGTTGTTTGTTGTTGTTTGTAGTTGTTGTTGTTTTGTAACCTAATTCATAAATAAAACGTATTTTCATTATTAATTTATAGAATTATGTCATCGCTTACGGTGTCACAACCATTTACTATATTTTTCACGCCGAGACATTTAATAGTTGTTGTTGTTGTTGTTGTTGTTGTTGTTGTTGTTGTTGTTGTTTGTGCTGTCGTGCTCGTTGTTGTGTTGCGGTGTGACCAACACGTAGCAGACCGAACTGGCGTACACCCCCTCACGTGATCAGCGTCGGTCATTGCAGACGACGACGGAAGCGCGGGCGGGCGCGCGCCGACGGATTTGGCAATCCGGTCGTACACCAGCGGGAGTGAACGTCGTCCATGCACAGAGCAACGTCACGCTCGGTGGCCACCTACCGACCACTGGCGCCGGCGGCGTCATCTACGTTTCCAATGGCAACGGCGTCAACATCGTCAACACGCCACGGCTTGCCATATGGCGAGCGCAGACTGTGCCAGTACAGCACGCCGGCGCCGATTGACGTGACGGCAGATGGCTGACCTTCGCTTCCAACGGACAGAGTATCGACATCGTAGACGATGGCCCGCGCCAGTGTGCGAAAAATGTGCGCGGCCACATGCCAGTCTTCACTTCCAGCTCCACCCTAGCTATCTCTCTTTCTTCGCTTCTCTTCTCTCTTTCTCTCATTCTCTACCTTTCTCTCTCTTCGCTCTCTCTCTTACCATCTCTACTGCTCTCTCTCTCTCTCTCTCTCTCTTTCTTTCTCTCTCTCTCTCTCTCTCCCTTCTCTCTCTCTCTCTCTCTCTCTCTCTTTCTCTCTCTCTCTCTCTCTCCCTCTCTTTCACGCATTCCATTCTACTACTTAACACATAAATTCGCTGTGGGTTTGCATATCGGATATTAATTCTCTGTTCTTCGTCTGCAGGTGGCGGCTGGTACAGGCACAGGTATAGGTATACAGGTATAGGTACAGGCTGTAGGTACAGGTAGAGGTTGAAACTCTAGCTGTAATCAGCCGAGCTAGCGGAGACTCTGAGATACCGGCGGGAGCCCAACGTTGAGCTGACCTGCGGGTCGTCGCCCACGTCGACAACCTTAACGTAGAAGTCCGCTAGTAGATGTGTGTTGTGTGTGTGTGTGTGTTGTGTGTGTGTGTGTGTGTGTGTGGTGTGCGCTGCGTGCGCTTCGTGTGCGTGCGTGCGTGTGCTGCTGTGCTGTGCCGTCACAATAAGTAACATGAAACAATGATGAACACGTATAAAGACAACAATTAAACATCACATAAACAGAATCAACCCAGCAAGTACGCTCACCAAGTAAACACAAGTAAATGTCAAGTATACACATCAAATCAACACATTAAAACAAACACACGAGTAAACACAAGCAATGTCAAGTACACGTCAAATCAACACACATAAACATCAAGTAAACAACAAACAACGCATGACGACAAACTCCGCCCTCCCCATCACACACACACAAACACACACCACACACACACACACACACACACACACACACACACACACAACACACACAGCACACACACACACACACGCACACGCGCGCGCCGCACACACACACCGCCTCGTCAGCATCCGATCACCATCATCATCATCCTCTTCCGCATCCGCAGGTGATCTGGCTTCACTCGAACGACGGCACGAGTCCGCGCATGCTGACGGCTAACGGAGCGCGGCTGGTCGATGATGCACGCTTCAGCAGCATCGTGACGCGGGTCGGAGCGGGAGCGGACTGTGAGGCTGCGCATCAGGCACATCACGTACGGTGACTCCGGAATGTACACGTGCGAGATACCGACCGTGCCGCCAGTGATGCTGGACGTTTATATACGCGTCATACCCGGTGAGTACTGGCGGTGATGGTGGTGGTGATGGTGTTGTTGTTGTTGTTGTTGTTGTTGTTGTTGTTGTTGCTACTGCTGCTGCTGCTGCTGCTGCTGCTGTTGCTTGTAGCCGTCTTTGTGTTTGTCTTTCGCACGCGCGCTAACTCTTCCTCGCTCTCTGTTTCGCTATCGCTCTCTCTCTCTCTCTGCTCTCTCTCCTCTGCTCTCTCTCTCTCTCTCTCTGTCTGTCTCTCTCTCTCTCTCTGTCTCTCGCTCTCTCCTCTCTCTCCTTCTCTCTGCTCTCTCTCGTTCTCTTCTCGTATCTCGTCGCTGCGCGCGCGCTCTCTCTCTCGTTCTCTCTCCCTCGCTCCTCTCTCTTTCTTTCTCTCTCTCTCTTATCTATCTCTGTCTCGCTTTCTCTCTCTCTCGTTCTCTCTCGCCTCGCTCTCTCTCTCTCGTTTCTTTGCTCTCTCTCTCTCTATCTATCTCTGTCTCGCTCTCTCTCTCTCGTTCTCTCTCTCTCGTTCTCTCTCCCGCGCCGCTCTCTCGTCTCTCTCCTCTCTCTCTCTCTCTCTCTCTCTCTCCTCTCTCTGTCTCGCTCTCTCTCTGTCTCTGCTCTCTCTCTCTCTTCTCTCTCTCTCTCGTTCTCTCTCGTTCTCTCTCGTTCTCTCTCGCCGCGCGCGCTCTCTCTCTCGTTCTCTCTTCCTCCTCTTCTCTCTTTCTTTCTCTCTCTCTCGTATCTATCTCTGTCTCGCTCTCTCTCTCTCTCTCGTTCTCTCTCCTCGCTCTCTCTCTCTTTCTTTCTCTTCTCTCTCTCCTATCTATCTCTGTTCGCTCGTCTCTCTCTTCGTTCTCTCTCGCCGCTCTCTCTGCTCTCTCTCTCTCTCTCTCTCTCTCTCTCTCTCTTTCTGTCCATTTATTTCCACACCTAATTCCCGCTCTCCCTTTACAAGCCGTGCGCTAGCGGCGGTGACATTCGACTATAACTCCAACGTGCGGTTTTACAGGCGATCAGGTTGATAATGAAGGTCAAGGCGAAGGTCGCGCCGCAGGCAGGGGTCAGGGAGTGAGCGGACGCACCACGTTACGCGAACTTCGACAGGGGCGTCAGGATTGGCCAGCCAATCGCGAAGGCCGGACGTCGCGGTTGCAGAAATCTTACCCTGGATTGATCGTCTATGCTAGCAGTAACGGGGGACACCTGGGAAGAAGGTACGCGCTGCAATCAATAATATAGCATACATGTATGTATAAAGTATGACATGAAGAATATATCATATATATTAGAGTATGATTATACGGTATAGGTGCAATTCATGGTCAAGATAAGCTATGTCTCATCGAGACACATGTGGCAGTTAGCACGTGTTAATACGAAGATGTACGGCCTAGATTTCTAATACGATTGTCTATCAACTACATTAACAGTAATAATATACCTATATTATATAATAGATATATATATATATATATATATATATATATTATATACCAATAGCTTATAATACCTAGCTATAAGGTATTATTAGCTCTTGAGCTATAGCTCGTGACTATACTTGTGTCTACATGTTACTAATGCCACCGCTGCCGCTGCTGCTGCCGCTACTGCCCACAGATCCTGCCAGTCCATTCTTCACCGTCTGCATGGGAATGTGGCAGATGCCTGCTCACTGTGAGTTCGACTCCAGGACCCCGAGCATCCCCGAATGTCGCTACCGGGCCATGTGGGCCTACAACGCGCAGAACGACAGCATACGGTTCGGCGTGCAGGCGAAAAACTACGGACTCGACTGGACGGGAATTGGCTTCTCAAGGGACCGTCTCATGGTACGGGGACCGTCTTATGTTAGGAGGGCGTCTCATGTTAGGGGGGGCGTCTTATGTTAGGGGAGCGTCTCATGTTAGGGGGGCGTCTCATGGTAGGGGGAGCGTCTCATGTTAGGGGAGTGTTTCATATTAGGGGAGCGTCTCATGTTAGGGGAGTGTTTTATGGTAGGAGGGCGTCTCATGGTAAGGGCAGTGTTTCATGTTAGGGGAGTGTTTTATGGTAGGGGGGCGTCTTATGGTAAGGGGCGTCTTATGGTAGGGGGGCTTCTCATGGTAGGGGAGTGTTTCATGTTAGGGGAGTGTCTCATGTTAGGGGGGCGTCTTATGGTAGGGGGCGTCTTATGATAAGGGGACCATCTTATGTTAGGGGACGTCTCATGGTGAGGGTAAGTCTTATGATAAGGGGAGTGTCTCCTATTAGGTGGACTGTCTCATGGTAGGGGGCGTCTCATGGTAGGGGTAGTGTCTCATATTAGGTGGATTGTTTCATGGTAGGGGAGAGTTTCTGATGATAGGGTGCTGTGTTGTGAGCGGTTTTACGGTAAATTTCACGATTCGCGGCATGTTTCTTTGGGTATTCGCCATCTTCCTTTAATGTCTGCCATGTTCCTTTGGTGTCCACCATGTTTCTTTGGTATCCGCCATCTTGTCATTGGTATCTGCAATATCTCTTTGGTTTCTGCCATATTTCATCGGTTTCCGCAATGTTTCCTTCGTATCTTTATTTGATATCCACCATTTTTCTGTGACATCCGCCATCTTTCCTTGCTATCCGCCATGTTGATTTACGCGTTATGCGGTGTCTGCTTGCAGCCGGATTCTGACGTCGTGTACGGATGGGTGAGCCCGGAGACAGGCAACGTTACCCTCATTGATGGGTGAGTACACGCGGGGAAAAGATCGCGCCGACATCACGTACCCACCTCTCCCCTCTCCTGCACACAGCTCACGGGAGCGTGTCGATTCGACGTATTGATTTAATGATTACCTATCGATTTTTGTCCAATCTCAGCGATCGTTAAATGTGCATGCTAATGATGACATGCTATTGATAATATAATGATTAGTAATAGTAATAATAATAATTATTATTATTATAATAACAGCAACATTAGCAACAACAACAACAACAACAACAACAACAACAACACAATTACCACTACAAATAATATATTACAAATAATAATAATAATAATAATCATCATCATCATCATAATCATAATTATAATAATGACGACGACGACGACGACGACGACGACGACGACGACGACGACGACGACGACGACGACGACGACGACGGCGACGACGACGACGACTACATGACTAAGACTCACCATCGTCACCGCCGCCATCTTGTATTCACCTCTCTCTCACTCTCTCACCGCGCATGCGCAGGCACTTGGACGGCTACGGACCGCCGCGGCCCGACGTACGGCGTGACGTCACGCGCGTCAGCGGCTCTCTCGTCAACGGCATCACGTCGCTGCAGTTCTGGCGACCTCGCGCGACGGGCGACCGCGACGACGTGCAATTCACGGACGACGACTGTTTCTACTTCCTGTTCCCGTACGACACGAACCGCTACAAGCCTGGAGTGATGCGTCATCGCAGCACGCCGATGGTGTCTGAACAGAGGATCTGTATACGACCGTGCATGATGATGATGATGATGGCAGGTAAGGAAGAGGTGGAGGGGAGGAGGGAAAGAAGGAGGGAGGAGGAGGGAGGAGGGAGAGATGGGAGAAGGAGGGAGAGGGGGAGAGATGGTGTCCGAACAGAGGATCTGTATACGACCGTGCATGATGATGATGATGATGGCAGGTAAGGAAGAGGTGGAGGGGAGGAGGGAAAGAAGGAGGGAGGAGGAGGGAGGAGGGAGAGATGGGAGAAGGATGGAGAGGGGGAGAGATAGTGTCCGAACAGAGGATCTGCATACGACCGTGCATGATGATGTTGATGGCAGGTAAGGAAGAGGTGGAGGGGAGGAGGGAAAGAAGGAGGGAGGAGGAGGGAGGAGGGAGAGATGGGAGAAGGATGGAGAGGGGGAGAGATAGTGTCCGAACAGAGGATCTGCATACGACCGTGCATGATGATGTTGATGGCAGGTAAGGAAGAGGAAGGTGAGGAGGGGAGGAGGGGAAGGAGGAGGGAGAGGGGGAG